TTACAAAAAAAATCTAAACATAAGTTCATCAAAAATGTGAGAAGGTCCATATTTCATATTTTTTTTTTGAAAGTAGTCCATATTTCATACTCCCTCCGTCCCATTTTATAACGCCTGTTTCGGTTTACGATGTTTGACTGAAGTTATTTTCAAATCATTTTATATGACAAATGGTATAGAATTAAAAAATAAAAATTACATATCAAAATACTACATCAAAAGATCTACAAAACTAGTAGTGACAACAATATTTTATTTTATCAAATTGCTAACGAAAATTGAGAAAAAAAGTGAATGAAGTTTGACCCTATGAATAGTAAACAGGCATTATAAATTGGGACGGAGGGAGTATAAGATTGTAACGACAGAAACAAAACTAATTTAAAGAATGGTGTGAAAAAAACAAAAAAAAAATTATCCAAAGAAGGTGAGAAAATTTTTTATGTTGGGTTAATGGTTAACTTTTGTTTTCTCACTATTTTATTTACAAAAATTGTGAGAAAAAAGGATTTTCTCGTCTAAACTTTTTTTATTTTCCATTTTATTTTCTAATGTCATGGGATGATCCGGAGGCACTCCGGTGTCCCGTTCATAAAATTGACGATTCCTACCCCGGCAATTCCCACCCTGCATAAATCCAAACACACTCTCACATTTCTTCAATTGCACCTCTCAAGTTGATTTTAATTTTGGAATCAAAATTTAACTGAAAAGTCAAAATCAATTTATGTGGTGCAATTAAGAGGAGTGAGGGATTACCTGGAGAATTAGGAGAGTAAAAATCATCGTGACATTACCTGGATGCCATTGGAACCGTTCTGTGAAGGGACTAAAAGAAAAAGGGAAAAATGACTCTGTTTTCCCCCCTTTTCAACCCAAACGGACCCTAATTACTCCGTATTTATGAACTTTTGTATTGCTTCTGATAAATTACAATTCTAGTCGTCACTGTGCGATCAGATCCCGCCGATGGATATGGAAACGGATCCCGTTGTCTACACGCCGGCCTCCGCCACGAGCACCGCCTCAAACGCCTCCACTCCCGTAGACTCATCAGCATCCGCTACATCTTCGAAGTTGAGCCAGTTGACGGAGTCCTTGAAACTGGAACATCAGTTTGTCCGCGTGCCCTTCGAGCAATACAGGAAGATGGTCCGTTCCAACCACCGCATCATCGAGAAGGAAGTTTCATCATTACTCTCTTGCGTCGGAGAAGCCGCGGAGTCTGACATCACCGGCGATGAAGCAGCTCAACGCATCAATTCGCTTGTCTCTAGGCTGCAAGGGCTTAAACGGAAGGTATATGTATGGAATTGTGAGAGAGTTGAGTCTTAGTTAATGAACAAGTCTAAGGTTTGTACACTTATTGTGTAAGTTAAATTTGTTTATTGGGAGATGATTGAGATCAAGATATATAGATAGCAAAATCAAGATGGATAATCATGATTTGTACTTCTAGTAGCTTTGCAAACAACCCAGTTATGTTTGCGTTTTGCATACTAATCCATCCTTCCCATCTGTCCCATTAAATTTTTTGCACTGTTTTCTCCAGTAGATTCTTTACATCTTCCATTTTACATCTCCGGAGTATTCATTTTACCATTTCTTTCTATGGGTCATGTACTCATGTCACTCCCATTTTGACCCGCCCTGTTTTCCTTACTATCTTTGCTACCTACATCCCGCCCTCCAATTATTAGTCATTTGTACTTTTCATTATTTTATTAATGATACTTATTAGTCGTTTGTAAACAAGATTATTTCATATGCCTTAACCACCATGAAATCTTATATGTCAAGAATCCAATGGGACAGAGGGAGTGTATTACGGCCTGAAAAGATTTGAATTTTGTTTATGTGAGGATGTGCAATGCTATTTGAATTTATTAAGTTCAATATGGTATTAAATATGTAATCACTTTACTTATAAGTTTTCATATCTGAATATTAAAAGTTGGAAGAGGGGAGTCAAATGGAGAACATGCAAGCTCAGAGATGTCGAGCACGTCTTGACCATTTAGAATCAATGAATGCCGAGAACCTATCAGTTTTGAACTGCAACCGGTTGAATCGTATGCTGGTCGATTACATGTTGAGGATGTCTTACTATGATACTGCTACAAAGTTTGCAGATTTTAGCAATATAATGGTGATCGGCTCTATTGCACATCATTTTCTTGAATAATTCTTGTCCAGTGCATCCATGGCTTGTGATGGTAACTAAATTTTATACTGTACATTCCAGGAGCTTGTTGATATTGAGGTATTTTATGAAGCAAAGAAGGTTATTGATGCTATTCACAACAAGGAGGTATCCCCAGCCTTGGCTTGGTGTGCTGAAAACAAGTCCAGGCTGAAGAAATCAAAGGTACATGTTTACGTCGTTTTGCCTGCTGCATGTAAATTTATGATAATATGGTTTTAAATGCTTACTTGATGTATTCCTAGTTTGTTTCTGTGCTGGCTTATTGAGTTGAATGTTCTGAATGGATGGATTGCTTATTTCTTCAAGAGCAACTTTATGCAAATTGAAACGGTTAAGCTTTGTATCCAGAACCTTCTGACAGTGAGATTTTACTATTCACATAACACGTGGAGCCCTGCAATATTGCATCACACAATGGTTTATTGTTTAAATGTCCATTTGGATTGAGGGTTATGGTGGTCATGATTTTAAAAGGCTCAATAGGCTTACAACGGTAGCGTAACTGTGCAAGGCAAGAAGAAAACACTTAAGCCTTAGTCTATATAAACGAGGCTTACACCTTAAGGTGTTGGAGGTGAAGAGGCGCGAGGCTTAATGGCTCTGAGGCTTAAGCTTCAATTGTATAGAAAAGAATCTGTAGTCTGTCCTGTCCCTCTTTAGAGTGGGTTAAGTTTTTTACTTTGAAGGCTATCTTTAAGCTTTTGGGCATCAATCCCTCCACTTACAAATTACAATCCTAATCCAGCCCTCTCATTTTTTTTGGCCTTTTTAGACAATGAACTGTAGTCATCTCTCATCATCGCCCCTTACAGACGCAATCCTGAGAGCGTGCTTCTTTGTTTTCTCTGGTCACTAATAACCGAACAGTACTCCGTTAACCACAAGTCTAATCTTTCCTCTCTAATTTTCTTTGAATCTGATCTGTTTTTTCCTGTTTCCTCTCTTTACTATTACTACTACAACTTATTATGGATGAAGCAATCACTTATGAGGATGAAGCCGCAAAGTTAGATAATAATGATGATGATAATGATGATGATGATGATGATGATGATAATAATGCTATGGATGAAGCTATTACCTATGAAGACTAGGATTTAAAGCTTAACTTTCTAAGCATGATAAAAAGAAGCACGTAATGTCAGTGACTACAGTGCCTTTTCTACTGACCACAGGGCTTTTCATATTCTCCTATCTGAAAACAGTACCATTCCGTTGGACATTGGTAAATGTCCTTTTTTATGCAAGGAATATCAGCAGCAATTAGTGAATTGACTTCTTCATGTCTGTGGCAGAGCAAATTTGAGTTTCATTTGAGACTGCAAGAATTCGTAGAGATGGTAAGAGATGAAAAAAGGATGCAAGCTATTATGTATGCCCGGAAGTATCTGTCCTCGTGGGGGTCCTCCCATATGAAAGAGTTCCAGAGAGTTGCGACCACAGTTGCCTTTAAGAGTAATACTGAATGTGCAGCATACAAGGTATGCCAACCCTTTCTTATTTTAGGGAAAATATGTCAAACCCCAGGTTTTATCATAGTATTCGACTTAGCACATCATGTTTTTTTTGAAAATGCACCGTAGAGTGGCTCAGGTCATTTCTGTTAGACTTAGCACCCCATTCGTCAAACTTTTCTCCACATGAGTTGCTATAATATATGACATTGCGCCCCATGGTGGGGTGCTCTAGCTAACAGGTGCATGGTCAAAGAGAATAAAACGTGGAGTGTAAATTTAAATATTGTTGTTAAACATGGGATGCAAAGACCAACTTCCCATTTGCATCTCAAGCAAGATTTGTTTCCCTGTTTCCATTCCACCATGGAACCGATTGAAGATAAATATATGCATTTACTTGTATTTGCACAATGGATCATGCTGAATTTCTGATAGTTCTCAAGATATTATCAGTTTGCATGTCTCATCAAAGATATTTTTGTGCTTGCTTCACTCCTCTGCAGTTGTTGTTTGAAGCAAAGCAATGGGATTACCTAGTCGATCAGTTCAAACAAGAGTTTTGCAAATTGTATGGCATGACCCTTGAGCCTTTGTTGAACATATACCTTCAAGCAGGCATCTGTGTGCTGAAAACTTCGTATCCATGTGATGCATTGTTTGAAGTATCTACAAAACATTTTTGTTTCGAAACATGTTTGATCTTTTTATTTTTCTCTCTTCTTCTTCTTCATATGAGTTGAGTGAAGTGCTTTATTCCATTAATCACAGTCAACCACATAGCTTAGACACTCAGACACCCAAAATTGAATATATAGAAATTATTAAACTAGATTCTGTCACTTTAAATATGATGAGGTTTCATTTAGCACTATATTTAGTTTGGATATTCACAAGAATTTGTTTTTAATTTTCCAAGTTTAAATGTATTCTTGGAAATAGGCTCAATGTTCCGGGTAGGGGTAAAGTTTGCATTCACACACCCTTCCCAGACCCCACCCTGTGGGATTTTACTAGGTCTATTGTTGTGTTTATTTAAATGTATTGAATACTCTTAAGGTGTGTTTGGGATACTTTCAGTGTTGTTTTGGAGGAAGCAAAGTACTTTACTTCATAAGCTTAGTGCTTAGCAGGAAATGGAAAAATAATATTACAATTTAAAAACTCCACTTTTAATGCATGGTTTAAGAAAGCAACTGTTTGTTTTTTTTTCTTATGAAAAGCACTTTAAGTTCTTAAATGAGAAAAATAAAAACATATGTACCATAAGGTTTCCCAAACATGCTCTTAGTTGTGTATGTAACATTACATTATTGCTCCTATAATTGTTAACTATACTGCATCCCCGGAGTGTCTGAGCCATTTCCTCTTGTGGAAATCTAATGTTGTAATGTGTGCTCCTTTCCACTTGTATTGCTTTTGTTTTTGTCTTGACTGCATATAGATTCTGTTATCAAGATGACTGTCCAAAGGAAGACCCATTGTCGCAGGAGAGTTTCCGGAAATTATCACAACCACTGCCATTCTCCAAACAGCGTCATTCAAAACTCGTTTGCTATATAACAAAGGAGTTGATGGATACTGAAAACCCTCCACTAGTCTTGCCAAACGGCTATGTCTATAGCACTAAGGTTGGTAGCTCTTCTTCTTTTTCTTTGTTACTGAACATTTAGGGCCCGTTTGGTGAGCACTGAAGATTTGTGTTTTGAATTTTTGATATCTCCCAAAATGAGAATCCTTTTGTAGTGTTTGGTGAAGTCAAAACATAGTTCTGCTTTGATATCTCCCGATATCACAACCCATCCAACACGGGTGTTTTGATATTTCCCTCAACCGCTGGACACCCACTGCCGTCCGCCCCGGCCACCGCCGACTGCCCCTTGCCGGTCACTAACAACCATATCAACTTTCGGATCTCCCCAAACACTTTCACTTAACATTTCAGAAGTCAAATCTTTTCATCCAGATTTCAGATCCCATATATATCAATCTTGATTTGCTCACCAAACGGGCCCTTATTATGATTATGTGAACTTTTCTTCTATTCTATTAATAAATGTTGCAAGGCATTGGAGGAAATGGCGAAGAAGAACAATGGAAGAATCACATGCCCCCGTACCGGGGTCACCTGCAACTACACAGATCTAACCAAGGCCTATATATCATGATGACTGCAGCTTCCCTACTATTTGATCTTCTGCTTGAAATGATTTCTAAGAGTCTTGGAGAGGGGGTTTACCCAGTGTCTAAATGTTACTTGTACATAAATCACACAATGACCTATATACCCTGTAATGATCGGATTGTTTTGTTGCAGAAATTGCCATTTCAGTGATTTATGGTGCTTCAGTTGTGGTCTTACCCAATAATAAATTGAAAATCTCCATTGCACCATGGAGTTCATTATTTGTCTCTAAAAGCCTTGTTATTTTGCTTTTTTTTTCAAGTTTTAATTTGTGTAAAGTTGGGTATCTATTATCTCTGATTACAAGTGGAGTCCTCCATCTATGGCAGCTAGTCCTCCTAGAGGAATTTTTCTTCTCTATCCAACTTCTCCATCCTCAACGTGGGTGGCTTTAGGTTCGTCGTAGAATTTCTACACCCATTTGGAGTAGAGGTTTGGTATTGTTTTGTTCGTCCCTAAATGAACTTTTAATTTAAAAATATTCTACTCCGTGTGTGTGTGTGTGTGTGTGTATCCACTACACTGGAAAAAAAATAATTATGATGTAGATGAGAGAGAAAGGATAAAGAGAAATTGGTAAGAAAAATTTGCATTTACCATTGGAAGTGCTTTAAAAACATTTGTGGAGTGTGCTAACTGCTAATCATTTGAAACATGTATTTGTTTCGCCTATTTCTGTAATGCGAGAGATATCCCTCATTTTTGCAAGACTATGGTATAACCCCAATTCAAAATAGGGATGATTCAAGTGACACTAGAGTCACCGGAAGTTTAAGTACTCAATTCAAAACCCAACTTTGGATTCGTTGCTCTAAAAGAAATCACGCTATATAGGATTATAACATAGAAAAAGTATCAAAATAATTGTCGATGTTTAACAATAATGGATTACTACATCATTAGAATAGCCAAATTTGACCAAGGAATTTCTTTCCCGTTTTATGCTAATCTTTTAAAATGATGAAATGCCTTTGATTCATTACCTGCTCACTAAACAAGAGAGACGAAGACTATTTCTTTTATCTCTACATCTCCATTTCACATTTCAAAACTCGTTCCATTTCAACTACTTTGTTCTTCTAACCCTTAAGCTTTCCCACTCAAGATTTTATCCAACCATAAACACAAAGCACACTATGCAAAGAGCTGCACTATATCTTTGGAGCGACATAGGGCTTTATTAACCTTGTGCCACAATGAACCTCAAATTACAGCATTTTATTTCATGTCCTCCAATAAAATAAAGATTTTAATAGTACGTTGTAACAGTTGAAGAAATCTTTAAAGTATAAAACAGTTTTGGTTCAATCACTACAAACCCATACATGCAACAAAATGAATGAAAAAAAAAATGCGCCGAATCAAGGTGACGCACTACCTCCCGGCGGAGAACCATGCCTTTCATCATCATCATCACCACCGCCGCCGCCACCATCACCATCATCTTGGGGGCTTCCATTGTCATCCTCAGGAATAGGACTACTACCAGCGTGAGAGTTGTCATTTTCATGGTGGGGACTGATGTTTTTCTCGTCATCATCGTCATACCTTGGGTCAGCCCTTTCAATTTCTTCATCATCATCATCATCCTTAGGACTCTTGTCGTACTCTGAAGCACCACCATTGACTGCCATGTCGTTGTCCATTGGGGATGTTGTCCCTCTCTCTTCGGGGCTTCTTTCATCTTCAGGTGTGGCGCTATGCTTCCCTCCCTTTGGTGGTGGTGGTGGTGATGACGATGGAGACTTACTATTATTATTATTATGCCTTGGGGGGCTCCTTGACCTTCTCTCTTCACTCTCAATGCTTCGCACCCTTTTAACAGGTGATCTAGACCGACTGCGTGCGTACATTTTCATAAATTGAAAAGGACACGGTAACCAAATATATAATGAATTTGGTTCCTAATTTTAATGTGTTAGCTTAATAAGTAGGCAATAAGAAGAAGAAAATAAAGGTAATGAAAAACTTAATTTTATGGATGAAATAGTGGGAAGAAGATAAATGACCCACCCATCCTCAAATCTTAGTTTATGTTCATTTAAATTATTCATAAAATAAAAATATACTCCGTATTGAATATGGATAAGGAATATAGTTGAGAAAACCTGTATTTACGGCCCCTGCTACGACTACGGCTACGGCTCCTTCTACGATGGGGAGATGGCGAGCGAGAGTAACTCCGTCCACGTCCACTACAACAAAACATATAAATATTCATTAGTCAGCAGTCCACGGGTACCCACATTGATTATATCATTAATGAAATACATGTGTATATCAATCAGAACCTGAGCTTCTTAGGGCTATTTTGACAATTCCTTTCTATATGTCCCCGATCCCCACAACGATAGCATTTGTTCTTCCAGTCTCCAGCCTTGCAATCTCGAGCCCAATGCCCATCTAGCCCACAATTGAAGCAACGACCTGATCCTGGAGGAGGACCTCGGCCCATATAATCACGAGATCCATTACGGTATTCACCGGCATCACAAGGCACCTATGATAAGAAATGATTTTTTTAAACAAGCCATGTGACCATTAGACAAATGGAAATGATAAAATAATTATAATTATAAACATTATTACAACAATATGTTAAATGCAAAAAAAAGACAAGAGAACTATAACATAGAGATGGAAACAACGGGAGCATTTAGGGTGAAAATAGGCAAATAGCAGACAACAGTGTTTGCTTATGCTTCTATATTACACATCTCCAAAACCAAAATGCCTATAAGATAGCATATAGATGAACCATAAAAAAGTAACTTAAAGTTCTGTTTGTTTCTACTTTCTAGGAAATTGTTTTCTTAGAAGGCTTGGAATTTTGGGGGAAAAAAACTTTTTCAATATATATACAAATCATGCAACTTGTTTTCCTCAAGAACATTTTCCACAACTTATTTTTTTCCAATCTAACAGAGCCCTAGATTATCTTACTATGACCATATGACTAACACTGCCCATATATATTTGTAACTTGTAAGTATCACAAAACGGGTCATCAAAAGAAGCATAGGAAAATGATAATCAAAGATCAACTAAATAGCACTTGATCCCCACCCCCTTGGCGATCTCCACTATAATGCGACTCCCATCAACATCCCGTCCATTTAAGCTATACCTAGCATCATCAGCATCTCGAGGATCACTGAATTCCTGCATTTTCCAGTTCAATGAAGAAGGAACAGAAGAACACACATGACGGTTGGCATTGCATGAAAAAAAGGATTATATCACCTAATTACCAAATGATAAATCACAATCTCATATAATAAAAAGAAGAAATGTGTACCACAAATGCATAATCACGCTTCATGTCCACATCACGTACTCTGCGTAAATTGGTTCCAGAAATGATAAGGCCATCATGTCATAACAACCGAAGGGTTGATATTTTTCCACTCAAAGATGAACTTAAACACCACTTTGGGATGTTTCCATTTCCATAAAAAACACACAACAAAATAGAAAGAATTGCCACTCTCGGTAAGAAATCCAAGAATAACGAGCAGTTCCACCAACAGGCAACCTCCCACCACAAACCTCCAGATCGGGCAAAAAAACAAACAAACCTTCTGGAGCATCATTCAAATTAAAAGGCCTGAGAAAATGGGACAACTTTTCCCCCTCAGATGCACTCTGAATAGAAATGCCAATCATGTTAATGGAAAATTCTTCTCCATATATTCCTCGCCACACAACCCCCCACTCCCCCAAGGCCCCAAGCAATACCAATAGCAAGTAATAACCCCTGCTATATGTACTCCATCACATAAAGGGGCATAATCAAACCAAACAAGATAGTCATACCCAAGAAAACTAGTCAAACCACTTTGGGAAGAAAAACTAGCGATTTCGATTAACAAAAGCCTATCACAGACACCTCTTTTGAAACCTTAAGCAGTGAAAGCTCCATAAAAGGCACTGAAGAGAAAGCTCCAAAAATGAAATCTACCTCCCATATCTGCTAAATATGTGCTCCAAGTCACGAGTGCGGGTCCGGGATGAAAGATGTCCTACGTAGAGGCGTGTTCCTCTATAACGATCATCATAACGCGGCATTTTCCCAAATGTTACAACTGATTAGCATGTAAAACCAATAGGAAATTCAAAAACTTTATATCTCAGGACCCGAATTAAATAGCAAACCACATAGTGAGGGATGGACTTACAAATAAATCATACATTTAGCAGTGAGAAATTGATATACGTAGAAAGAGATGGAATTAAAAGAAGCAGATCGAATGAAGATCAGCGTACCTGAAGATGATCAGAGATGTAAGAACCCTAGATTTTAATTTTTTTAAATCTGTTCTCCCAATTTCCCCGTTTTAAGTGGAGCTCAAATGTCTATTTCTTTGACCAAAAAAAAGTCTTCCTTTTATTGGAAAAAGAATTTGAACTCACTTTTTTCTAGGAATGCTAGAGTCACAAAATTTATAAATTTGACATTTGCAAGTTTAAATTTCTATTTCTTGAATTATTTAAAAACACTTATTCTATTAATTATATTCACAAATGGTAAACTTATAATGTGTGTGTGTTCTTGATAACTCTTACAGAATAAAATTTATTTACTCTCTTCGTCTCAATTTAAGTTGTCTGTTTTGGTTTACAATGTTTGACTAAAATTATTTTTAAATGATTTTACATAAAAAAAGGTATAGAACTAAATAATAAAAATTATATATTTAAAAACAAGATCAAAAGATCTACAAAACTAATGTTGACATGATTATATTATTTTATCAAATGAATAATGAAAATAGGGGAAGAAAATAAATAAAATTTGACATTATATATAATAAACATGTACTTTAATTTAGTACGAAAAGAGTAGTATGGAGTAGTATGTCAGTTTTTTCATTAAGCATTATTAATGCATAAATTTTATGCATAAAAGTTCTGGTATTTTTTTTAAAATATGATCAACTAATAATAAACTTGTATGTGCTGAATATAAAATGAGTATAAGACAAAAATATTGAGTCGAAAAAAACAATGGGACATGAGTTTATAATTTAAACAGATTTTAGTTATGCGACACTTTTAAAGCTTCTACTTGGTATGTTTTCACACATAAAGTAAATGTGACATGCACGAAAAGTGCTGTTAATCTGGCGAAGCATGACATCAAAATTCTTGGAAGCAAGAAAATAACTTCACTAAAAAAACAACTATAGAATGTAAGTGTCATATTTAAATTTTATAACATAAAATTTCTTGTTTTTTAAAATATGATCAGCACAAAGAAAACTATAAAATATGCACAAATGTCATTTCTTTATTTTAATTTTTCACATCAATATCAACTATAAAATATTGTTTTTCTTGATTTTTACCTCATTTTTTTATCCCCTAAAACAATAGAATAGAAAGAAGTATGAACTATATTGATAGGAAAAAGTTAAGGGGAATGGTGTAGTTCCCTCGGTTTGAGTGGTAGGGAATAAATTTTGGCAAAAATGTGATCACATAATTTTTAAAAAAATACACAAATTTAGAGCAACCACTTCTCTCGATCGAATTTAATCTAAATTTTTTTCACTTTTAAAGAGATGTCCTTGTAAGTAATTTTGCATCATAAAAACCTAAACCAACATTCGAAATCCAAAAAAAAAAACTTTAACAGTTGTCCTAACTCCTAACAGCAATAATAACATCTAGCAGTAACAGCTGAAACAAGAGGAAAACAAGGCCAATGCTGGGTAAATAGGCATGAAAGTAAAGGCTATTTGTTATCACGAAGCATTCAATAGTTTCTTGCAATAGGTTTCCAGCCATGCAGCAGCAGATTTTAGGACGCGGAGCTCACCCCTGAGGACATTGTAAGCCATCTGATGCCTTGAAGCATTTTTGTTAACCGTGTCAAGAGACATCTGCTCCAATGACCGGACAAAAATATGGCAACGGTTAACAAAAGGAACATATAGCAGAAAGAAAAAGTAATAGTGCAAAAATTATTTCCGGACAAACGAAAAAAAAAAAGTGGGAAAACTTGTGGGACAGAGGAAGTGTACATGTAAAATGTTTAAAAGAGAAGTATTTGAGTTTGTACCACAAATTATTTTCCCAAAAAACAGAAAAAGAAAAGGTGCAAAAATTATTTTGGGACAGATGAAAAAAAGTGGGAAAACTTGTGGGACAGAGGAAGTGTACATGTAAAATCTTAAAACTTTCCTAACCAATATTGATTTTCCTGCATAGTTTTCTAGTGGAAAGAAAAAACATTTTACCTGGCTTTTCCCCCAATTTTGCTACCATATTTTGGTTTGCAAACACATGCTCATAAAATAGGAGTGATTCTTACCTTAAGGGATGCATCATAGAAATAGATTAACTCGGTTATTCTCAAAAGCAGGAATTGATGAGCTTCAATTTCTCTACATGTATCCCTAAGTGGACCCCGAGCCAGACGACCGTCATTTTCTGCAGCTTCTTTTGCAAAATCATTTATTTCTGTGCATATGACAAAATGGTCCTTCCCAAATATTATTAACAGGACACACTCTTTACAGAAACATGATGCAGGTATATAGAGTAATAACAAAAACAAAAAAATCAAAACCTTGAGGAGATTTTGAGCACAAAACACGAGCATATGCACGGCAGGATTGTGGAATGCCCCTCCCTTTACCATGAGCAGACCTTACTTCCCTGGAGGGAAATAATATTTACAAATAACATGCAATGAAGAAAAGAGGTCATCACAATTCACAACCAAGTAACTAACTCAGAATGCCAGCAAATTAAAGGTAATTATAACACTTTGTATGGGGGTTAGTATGGTAGGAACCACTTCAAGGGCCCAAGTGGGGTCCCAGTGTCATACTATGACACCTAAAACCGGTGTCAAGAGAACCGCAGGGATAAAATAATAGCAACAGAGTATAGATTTACCAAAATATTGTTTTTGATCCTATGTTTCCTAAATATGCCCCATTCGTCCTGGAATACGGTTCCACAATTGATAGGGCATGTTTATTAAGAAAGATGAAATTTATATGTTTATTCTCTACTCAACTGCTTTTTTTACGATTTCACTTTGTTACATGACCACTTTCTTGTCATCGAAATTATCAGAAGTAGCATCCGACTTTCCTCTCTACTGGGCTTCTTTTTCATCTTTCATTTTGTAGACAAGAAATGCAAACATTTGATTACTTTTATAAAATGTACTCCCTCCCTCTGTATTTTATTGTCCCATTTTGACTTTACGTGGAATTTAAGAAAAGAAAATTTGTTTGGTTGAAATTTATGAAAGAGAAATTTATATGGACAACACAATTATCACCTCAAAGGGAAATGAGACAAGAAAAATGGGACAGCCTGGAAAAGGCAAGTGGTAAAAGGGGACAAAGGGAGTATAATTTATCATGCAATTACCATTTCTAATTTTATTAATCGGCTAGGATCTTCTTACCCTCAAACCTTGGGTCATATTATGACTCTGACACCTATGGTGCTCCGTTAGTAAAATTAATGGTTCCTACCCCCCCCCCCCCGCCAAATCGCCTGTTTGGGCTGCTAAATCAGCAATTTAGGGGGGGGGCTGAGGGGTAGGAACAATCAATTTTACCAACGGAGCACCGCAGGTGCCTAGGTCATAATATGACCCGAGGTTTGAGGGTCAAAAGAACTGTTGGGATCATTAAATGCTTAAATGAATGATATGATTTTATACATATACTGTACGTTTTACATATGAGGCTTATGCCTCTATCACCCTCGATCGACCTCAAGGCTTACGTATATGCTAAAAAATGCCTTGAAGTGCATTTTGATTTATAAGCCTTTAAGCCATTATTTAATACTCCGTAAATTTTGTTATTGCCACCACATATTTATGTTGATACTTGACACAGTAGAATGACTAGACAATGTCAATGATATGTCATCTCCGTAAAGGGACTCATGCGTACTTAATGTCCCTTCTATCATTCTATGTACTTACTAGTCAAGTGTTTGTACTTTACGCATCTCGTGGTGAGCCAATAAGAATATAGGTGAATGCTGGCATCAAAATGTTAGGACGTGTTTAGGTACCAACTTGAGGGTGAAAGAATTTTCAGCAGAAGTGAATCCCATGTCATCTGTTATTGTTGGTGTGCAATGTCTGCTTAGAAGTTCCAATTTCATTGAAGAAAGATGGTCTTCCAGAGGTAAATCCAGTTTGACTTCAACCTGAGAGTAACTGATGTCAACTATGTTATTGTAAATATGACAACAAATGAGCAATTACAAGAAAGCAAAGAATATAGTAATGTAGAACCAAACTTTCACTGCACCGTTGTTTGGTTGTACTCCCTTTGCCTCTAAATAAACTTAACTTTTACTTCCTCCGTCCCACTATATTTGTCCACTTTCATTTTTGCACACCATCCAATACACTTCTTTAATCCATTTTATCTTGTAATTTGTATATTAAAAAATTATAGAAATTATATATTAATAATCTATATGTTAAGACAAATCAAACAAGATCACGCATGACTATATTTAGGCTTACACATTGAGAGAATTTGATGAGTCAAAGTGCTTAGATGAACAGTTCCAAAAGTCAAAAGTGGACAAACAAAGCGGGACGGAGGGAGTACTATATACTCCGTAGTTAGTAGTATTATTTAAAAGATCAAATTATACCTTCTTTCTTTGCTTATTTTCTTTGCTCATTATTTGATACAATAAAATAGTCAAGTCACCTTTTGAAGTAATTTAAATATATAAATTTTATTTTTTAATTTTCCACCAATGTTTAACAAACTAATTGAAAATAACTTCAACCAAACATCATAAACCGAAATACTCCCCCCCCCCCCGTTCCCAAAAACTTTACCCATTTGACTTTCAAGGACTTTAAGAAAATCAGTTCTCCCCTTTGCCCATTTCTCCACCCATCCTACCTCTTTCGAACCAAACAAGGGTAATTGATACAAAAGAGGAAAGGTTAATTTGGGCAACAATAAAAAATATAGCCGGGGCAATGGGATATGATCTCAAATACAAAAGCAACAGTTTGTTATTTTATTTCTTGGATGGACTGTTCAGTGACAGCACAGATAGTTTTTAAAAAACCACATGAAGTGAACCCTCTGCATCTTTGACAGTGTCTGATTTCCTAACTTGACAGTGTCTGATTTACTAACTTAATGCAAAAGAAGTGAAAGTAGCATGTGAATTATGCAGAAGATGGGTACATTTTCATGCTTATAACCTATTCAGTACTCACAGTAAAATGCTGAGGTCTAAGATTGAATATTCATAGATGTTACACTAAATGCATAGAACACAATGCAACAACAACAACAACCCAGTTGGATCCCACTACAGTAGGGTCTAGGGAGGGTGTGTGTACGCAGACCTTGCCCCTACTTGGAAGCAGGGAGGCTGTTTCCAAGAGACCCCCGGCTCAACCTGCACAAAAAATATGATAGGGTATACAGTATAGCATGGATAAAACACCAAGTACAATGAAAAGAAAGTTCTACAAGCATTAATAAAAGATTCCAAACAAACACAACACACTACAAAAACCTCTATAGCACCGAGTTCCTAACCAGCTACTCTAATCCTAGTTCTCCAAAGGTTCCAATCTAAAGCCATATCCTCAGTCAGGGTGAGAAGTCCTAAATCCTGCATAGAACACAATGACATATCATAAAGTAAAGCTTTTCAGGCTCAGCAGTCAGAACTGGATTCTAACCTGGTCATGTGTATTATAAGAAAGTGTAAATCCAAAATCCAAAAGTAGAGTAGCATTTGAGAACTTTCCGTATCTTATTAGGACCTGTATAAAAAGGGTAAATGACTCTAAAAAAGAAATGATATCATCTATGCTAGAAGCAACAATGATATACTTAAGAGCTATAAATAAAAGTGGAGTAATCTGTATCTGATGATTACATGCTCTTTTAAGTAGGAACTGTAAACCTTAGAGCTATTACTCTATTACGCCCATCTTGGCTTCTATATACGGCAGTGTTGCATTCCAATATTCCATCAATATCATCGATATTAATACAAATCCTATTACACTTTCCTAATTCAAGTTTTTCTGATACTGTTTCCACTATCTCGGTGGCGGTCTATGAACGCCACCTACTAAACTCCTAATATCTCATTATTCAGCCACTCTAAATTTAAGGTTTGAAGATACAACAAAAAAGAATTCGCCCAGCAGAAACACTATTAGAGTTTCCCCACAAAGCTGAAGATTTCCACCAATCATAATCCACTCCATTTCATACTTTTACACAAAAGTAGGATGATCAGAACCAGTTTGAATTGGGATGTTGAAAACCCAATTGCAAGACAATCATTGCAACATAAATGCTGCTGAATTTTCATCATTTGTAGAAGAGAGGATATGAATTCACACAAAACCTGAGCACCAGGAGCATAATCGCGGTCAGCAATAACCTGCACCTCAAAACATAAAGGTTAAAGTGATAAGCCTTGTAGAAATAAGGAGTGCAGCTAATATTTCACAAACATGCCGGGGTAAATTTACTTTGATGTCAATGTGGTCACTTAACAGTGCTAGTCTTGAAATAATAGTGTCTACACACATGTTGACATGTATATACAAGTTGACAATGCTTTAGACACCCAGAGAAACTGACTAAACTGGTTGAGGACCTTGATGCACCCCAATTCTCGTTTGTGAACGTCCTAGTTTTGATTCCATAAAATATTTTTTACCTAACTTTGTTTTAATCCTTCTAAAAAAACTCAAGACACAATCCCAACTTTATGCTCTCACTCATCTGGTTCTCATATGTCTCTCCAAGTCTCTATGTCAGTGGAATGGCAGACATGGCACGCAACCTGCCAAACACTCACCTATCTCTCTGTCTTTGAAACTTGCTCTCGGACCCTCTCGTCCATCTCAGACGACGTCCCTCCATTGCTCTCAGCCCCTATCGTCTGTTGCTATCTTAGGTGTTAGCATATTGCAATTGCAATTAGTGTAAATAGTGTGCATGATCAATCTGACAAACAATGTGAAGGCCTTATTTTGCAAAAGCAATCAATACGAGTTGCTTTACATAAACAACCTTCAGAAGATATATCTGGACTCATTTGAATGCTTCAGTTGACATCAAGGTACTTTTGTCTTGTGGATTGTCTTTTTAATATCATGATGAAAGTGACTCAAAAAAGAAAGGTCATCTCCTAACTTTCTTAAAGTTCCTTTCTGAAGGAAATTATAATGTGGGTAGTGTTGTTTTAAAAAATGCTACTGGTAATAATCGAATGACTTCCCCTATGATCCAAAAAGATATTGCAATTGTTCATTGAATAAATAAACTAGTACTTTTTGAGAGTTTTCCCGTGACATGTGCAGCCACACCAGTCACACATAGGTGACTTCTTAAATCAATTTTTTCCCTTTCTTTGATCCATTATGGCTACTTATGATTCTACAAACAGTTCATTTGTTGTTTTTACCTTGGACAAGCTCATTGAACTTGTAAAGTTTTCCTCTTTTCTCTGACCGTCATGTTGACAAATAAAGAAAAACACTTGCTGTATTGATAATGAGCATGCACATTATCTACTTCAAATCATAAAAATTTTCTCAATGCAATGACATAACTGAGCGGTACAAAAATATTGTTTTCAAATACTTCTTGTCCTATACGCAATAAAGAAAAGGAGGATTAAAAGATAAGTTTCCTTCAACAATCAACATCTGCCAAGTATAGTGCTCCTTTTATTTTGTTTAGTTCTTATATGTGTGCATGCGGAAGTATCGGGATAGGCAATTAAACCTCTGAGAGTTGTTTTCCATCGTCATTCAAAACTAATGAATCTGAAAGACCGTCATGGTTTAAGAAATCTGCAAATGGAATCTAAGGAAAGGTTAGCACAGACATTTCCATATTGAGCGTCATACATCATAAAATCCAATCCAACCTCTTGAAGAAAAAGCATTGTTGAATCTGCTGATGCATGAGTCCTGAAAAACATTTGTCTAAAAATTGTAATTGAGCATTGATCTTATGATTACGTACCATAGAGACACCACTGAAGCTTTCCCATGCTCGAGAAGTAACTGATATGTTTAAAGAGAGCTCATAAAATGATTTATATATGGTAAAAACTGACCAATGCTAGGCTTTCTTTGAGCTCACCCAAAGTAGTCTAGAATTGCAAAGAAGTGTGTTGAAACAAAATGTTTACCTAAAGCATATGCATACTTAAAGTCATCTAGTGTGATGACCATGTGAAGTTCAGGGAAGTGACACAAAGCCTGTAAAATGTGTTATACGATCAACACAAACATCAGTTACATCCCCAGAAAAAAAGTTACAACTGAGTATCCAACAAACATGTTCTTCAGCTGTAAAGTTCAGTTACCACATGGATGCATCATTGCCAGGAAGGATTAAATATATAAGAAACATTCCATCATAATTACGACAATTCTTCTAAATCTGTTCAAGTGATTGACCATTGACCCTCATGTTAAACAGTGACAAGGTTGACAAAATGAACCTATGGTGTATTACGAACTTAACAAAGTAATCTTCAAACTATTCAGAGTAAAAGTAGCCAAGACATGGGCAGAAAGGAATTTTTAGTTGAAACACTGCAATGATTCAACAAACAACAAATTTCATGGAATACTAGTAGTCAGACAACCATAGCAAGCAGTGAATGAATTGGACTAAGCAAATGATCAAGGATGGATATTTGCTGATATTCTGATACTAACCTTTGTAATCACCAAAAAATCACTTTCAACAATTTTCTTCTGCCTAATTGTTTCTCTATATAATGGACTTGGTTGAATCATCTCTAATTCATCATCCTTCCAGAAAATCTGCAGGCGTCAAGTGTGTATTGGTAAACTTGATACCCAAAAAAATAATATATAAAGGATTCCCCAAGTCAGATAACAGATGTGTGAATAGCATAGATAAGTTTTGCAAATATATAAACAGGGTTCCTTCCTCAGTTCCTTATAATAACAACAACAAGCCAGTAAAATCTCACAAAGTGAGGGGGGGGGGGGGTTGTGTACACAAACCTTACCCCTACCTAGAAGAATAGAGATGTTTCCAAAAGAAAAACATAACCATCGGCACTATCAATTTGTAGATGTGAACCTTGCCAAGTTGTTATATAACATGTGAGTGTTATTTACCGTGTTATGCATCTCTGCAGGTTGTGGAAGACGCCTAATATAAGGAGCCCATTCAGATTTCTGGCGGCAATATGAAAAAACAAAGTAATCAATTGGTGTTATCCATGCTGATGTACCAAAGTATAAGTATAAGACACAAAAAGAAGCTAATGTATGTGAGAACTTTTACCTCACCAAGCCTCTGCTCGTATAAAACAAGTAAAGAAAGTTTTGCCACATTGCTGACCTGGTCCCCTAACAAGGAATTGATTCTCAAAGGAAGCTTATTTGATGACACTTGCTGCATTTATAGTATTATAGTGTTCATCACTCAATAGTTGATATGAAACATGAATATAAACAAAAACAAAAAAACTGAAAAACAAATAGCATACCACGCTATATGGAACCTTCAATATACAATCCCCAGCTTTTATATGCGTTCGAGCAAACAAAGACCTGGATACTCAGATCATGAATCCAAAAAAATGCTAATGGTCTAGCGGACACCTAGTCAACTAGTTGAAGTAGTCAATAGGTCTACATATGTAATATGGAGTGCATAATAAATTGCTACAGAATATGGAGTTTTATATGTTCCCTCCTCCCCAAAAAAAGACTCCTAGTTACTATTCACATGTCAAACTAACTATACTTTCTTTATACATTTTCCCTGATCATTTGATAAAATAAAATAACCTTGTCATTGTTTTGTAGAACTTTTGATGTCATTTTTTAATATATAATTTTTATTTTTTAATTCTACACCAATTTTTACTTATATTGATTCGAAAATAACTTCAGCCAAACATTATAAACCAAACAGGAGCCTTATTTTGGGGCGGAGGGATTATCACTATCATAACCCGAATTATGTTGTATCTCAATTTGTACTACCGCATCATATGTGATGCATGCAATCATGTTAAAAATAAACTCAACCAAAACTTCAAACTTGTGGTTTAGTTTTTTTTTAAACTAAGTGGTTGTAAGGTTCTAACTAGAGACCTCATGATCAGCATTCAGCAAAGCTTTGATAATATATTTAAGAACCAACTCACCCAAAGCTCAAGCTTGTGACGCAAGAAAAGTTTTATACTGTAAAAAAATAAGGATTACACCCTCATCTATTATGAATTTCTCAGTCCAATAAAGATTGAATTGAATCACATGATATATGTCTGTATTTATTCAATTTTTTTATGCATGGTTCCTTAAAAGAGAAAGGAGGGAGTATATCTTAAAAGTGTTAGGACCTTCCGAATGTGGAATCTCCAATGGAAAGGGCAGAAGATATCTCTGTTCGGGCCTTCAGCTCCAGCCACTGCAAGAAATCGGCGGCGAATTCCGCGTCTACCTGAGCTGGGGCCTGCAGTGCAGAAAGCCAAACACATATTCAGAGCTGCAAGGAATACAGTTAAAATGTGAGATATGCAGTGTGAAATGAGTGCGTCGTGCTAACTTTAGACGGAGAAGCTGATGGTATGAAGGAGTATGGTTTGCAGCGGTGGCGGCGAAGGAGGCTGTCCAATGTAAGAGGGCGGCGATGACGAGCCCACCAGGTGTTTGATATTGTGCTTCCGCGTATGGATATCATTTTGAATTTGTGCTTTCAGCCGGTTCAGTTTTAGTACGGAGTATTAGGTAGCAGCAGCCAGCCGCCCATTCACACTTCACTTATAATTAGGCTCCTTTCCAATCAAGTACAGAGTAATTTTTTCTCATCTAATCTGATTTTTTAGTTCTAATCTGATCTCATTTAGTCTGATCTGATTGGAACTAATCTGGTCTGATCTGATTGGATCTGATCTGGTCTGATCTAATATGATTAATTATGATTTGATTTAAAATTCAAATCAATAATTTTATTTGACTTTATAATAACGTTTAAAAATTGTAATGATAATTCATATTATAATATAATCAATATTTTTAATTTTATTATTATTTTTTATAAAACAAAATTAGTTAATTCATATATTAGAATAATCATTCATATTTTCATGTAATAATATTTTTTATTTTATGATTATTTTTTTGTGAAATAAGAATATTGATTTAGTATTTTAATAATTAGTTCATTTATACATTAAAATAAATATTTAATTTATATATACATTAAAAATTAATTAAATTTAGATAATCAATATAGAGAAGAGATAGTATTTTTATTAAAATATCTTATCATTATAAAAGATCAAAAGTTTAGAAACTCAAATTACATGTAGCAATAAAAATGTGTTTTAAAAGTAGAATTAGATGACATTGTAAATGTATTTTAAAAATAATTTTTCCAACGTCTAATAATTAAGGATTACTTTATCAGTTCTCTATTTAACTTGTTTCTAAAGTTTATTTTTTTTTCATTTTTGAGAATAAGAATAATAATAATAATAATAATAATAATAATTCTTGAAGGGATCTGATCTAATCTGGTCTGATCTAATTGGATATGATCTGATCTGATTGGATTTGATCTGATCTGATTGGATCTGATCTGATCTAATCTGATTCGATCTTATCTGATCTAAGCTGATTCGATCTGATCTGGTCTGATCTGATTTTAATAAGATTAAGAAAAAATAAGTTGAACGGAACGGGGCCTTAGACAAACTTATGTACTCAACTTAGATTTTAAAAGATTTTGATAGATTATTTAAAATTTATGTATTATGTAAAATCAAAAAATTATTTTAAACTATGAGAATTAGATAGATTTTAACATATTTTTAGGTAAAATTTTATAGAATTTTGTATGATTGTTTATTATCAATGGATTATTCTTTTTTAATTTCATAAAAAGAAAATCGGGGGTAGGCTCATCGACTTTAAGAAGATATCTATGACATTGTCATTGTTAGTTCAGTGATTTTGACTCCAAAATCAAATAAACTTGGAAGGTGCAATTGAAGGGGTTATGGGTGGATTTGGGTCGAGGCGGGGTGGAGGGTTTTGTCGAGGGGTGGGAGGGGTAGGAATCATCAATTTTATAAATGGGACACCGCACGACCCCCGGGTCATACCGTGATATTCCCGGACAATGTCGCATGAACCGCCCCCTACAATGTAATATATATACTTCCTCCGTCCCAAAAAGTCCTTCACGTTTCGAAAAAATTGTGTCCCCAAAAGTTCTTCTCATTTCTAATAAAAGACCACTTTTACCTTATACTTTTCCATACCTTACATATCACATCATACCTTTTTTCTAATAATCTACGCATCACATCTTACTTTTACTCATCACATCAAGAGTATTTTTGGAAAATCAACACAAAATTATTCATCTCTTATTTTACAACTTTAGTCAATATGTCCCTGTCTTTCTAGGATGAAGGGAGCAGTTATTAGTGCTCAAAATAATAGAACAGTCATGTAATATTTCAGGCGCTGCCAACTCTCATAATCTATTAGTGCTAGAAGAAAATCATAGTCTAACATTGTAGTGCATTTCACACATACATATATCCACAATATTCGAGCGTGACTTGGCCCACATAGCCTTGTTAAGAGACAATTGATTATACATGGCCAAAACACCATCAACAATTACTCTCGTTATGAATATAACTCATAACCTTGGCTTTGACACAACTTGTTGTATCTCATACACTACCCACTCTTATATAACCAATTAGAGTTAAAAGAAACACATATCATAGCTTTATAGTGCATTCAGCACACATAAACACTCACGATATTTAAGCGTGACTTGGGCCACGTAGTCTCTGCCACAAGGCAATTGATGTAGACATGACCAACAGGTTTCACACTAGAATTCCGTATCATCTAATGATGCTAGACACCTACGATATTCCGATCACCAAATTGATGGTTCTTGTAGCCAATCCACAAAGAATGTAAAGGAAGATGGTTGGGGGGTTAGACGTGGAATCCACCAATTTTGTGAGAGGAACACTGTAGGTTTTTCAAATGCATCAGTATCATCAGATGACAGCAAATGAAATCATGAAACCGGCCCGGTTTTTCAGAAAAACCGATAATCAAATCGAAATTGATCAAATTTTATTAAAAATAAATCGAACAAAAAATAACCCGTTTGAATTTGTATTATGGTAGATCTGTGTGATATTGTCGAAACTATTTGGGTACTTTGATGGGTTAGGTTTATGGAGTTTCTAATGTAATTGTTGGTTAGGTTTATGGAGTTTCTAAATATGGGGATGGGCTTGTGTTGGGTGCGATCAAGAAGCATCATTCACGGCTTATAGGGGTGTCAAAGTGATGCTTACAGATGCTTTGTCGATGCCACTGCACCCACTTTCTGTCTTTGAGTAAAGTGTCATATGGGTGTGTTATCTTTAATCCCTTGGGTGATTTTTAGGCAGCGATGAATGGTTTAATGAATTGTCCTTTTGACCCCTTAATGGCAGAGGCTATGGCTTGTCGGGAGGCGTTGTCTTGCCTGAGACAAATATAAATTGTGGATGTGGAGCTCAACTCGGATTGTTAGAATGTTATTCATGCACTAAAGAACACCTCTTCTACTTCCATTAATTATTTTGGTTCTCTTATTGAGGACTGTATGTCCTTAAGTGTGGGTTTAAATGTTGTGAACTTCTCTTTTGTTTCTCGCTCTTTCAACACTATAGCTTATGCTATGGCTAGAGTGTTGGTTTGTGGCTTTTTGGACATTTTGGTATGCGATATTGTACATAATTTGTTGGAAGTGGGTGTTGGAGTAAAGCCCCTTGCTTCGTATAAATACATGAGTTAGGAGTGGGGGGAGATTGAGAGAATCTATTGCATTAAATGGCCAAGTACTCTAAAATTTGTTCAATCTAAAACATTAAATGACTCAAAGTTAATAAACCTCCTAAAAAGTAGTGAAAAGCGTTTAATTATCGTGCACGCACTGCCCAAAAAAGTAATTGTCATTATTACCATCAAAACCGAAAAAATAGTCCAATACAACCCACCTTGTAACCGCCCTCTGGCCGCCCTAAGTAGTAGATTTAATCAATTGCAGCAAAATTGAAATAGAAGCCCAACATACTACGCAGCCCATCACGTCTGACCCGACCCATAACTTTAAGCGGGAATACTATTCATTTTAGCCTCCTACCATTGTATACATATATAGAATAGAATATAGATATAGTTTAGTTTTTAAATGAAACAAATTTTTTACTCCTAGGCAATACCGGAGTACATTACGTAGTATTTTGGAAGGAAAAAAGAACAAAGAAAAAAAAGGGGAAGGATTTAATTTTAGGACGAAGGGACACAGGAATTTAACACCACTCAAATAGGGAAGAGATGCCAGCAGTCGGACAGTTTGTATTGTTCCCTACCCTTCTACATACGGTGTTACACGCATATACTCCGTATTATTCACACATCGACCCCTTTTCTTTTTTCTTTTGATTTTTGTTGCATAATCAATTCTTTTTTTCCATTGAAAATTCATCATCTCAACTTGTCTCCTTCAACACAGAATGATCCAATGTCCTCTGGCTTGTTAGTATTCTCTTTAGGGTTTTGGATTTCTCGATTGTGAGAAACTAGGGTTTTCTCTGATTAAAACCATATCCAATTTGTTTAGTTGATTGTGGTTTGTTAATTGTATGGAGAATACTAGATGACCAGGCGATGAATCAAGGAGGCAGTGCTATGAACACCGCAACTGCGTTCGAGCCAGTCCCGCAGGAGGTAAATTCTAAAACTTCATCTCGGGACGCTTTGAGTGGAATCGAAATTTGCTACTCTAGTATGTTAATTGAGCTGGAAGAATTAGCTCATAGAACCCATAGCGTTTAATAAGAGAGAATGATCATTCATCTTGGTTGATGCTTATGTTTAAGCTGAGCAATAGATGGGTGATGCGTGCTGGAGTTCATAATTCTAAATTTTAGTACTCCAAACTTCCCAATCAATCTTCTCACTTGTTTTAGCATGCCTATTAAGAAAAAAGGAATTGTTTGGTTGATTTAATTTTGAAAGGAAGGAAATACAGCCAACCGCACATTTTTTTATTTAAAAGGAAGTGAAAAGTTTATTTCGGTACAATTAAGAGAGCAAAGTGAGAGGTTTAGTTTGGGTTAGAGGGAGTAGTTCTGCATGACCATCTTTCTTTTGGGGTATAAAATTAGTGTTTATGTTTACCATTTAATGAAAATTGGCTGAATAATTTTTATTTCATATCTTTAGAACATCTTTATTCTTATATGTATATTCAATGACATGTGAATTGTTCCATCCATGCTGTATTGATGTGGATGCAGAGTTCCATTTTATTGTTAATTCATGCATGTGGTGGTTTTAAACTTGCATGCTATTTTCTGTCTTTGTATTTTCATGTTGATGGGATGTATCCCAGTCCATGTTTGAACATTACTTCCATTGGTGTAAAAAACAGTATTTTCATTGGTTTTTCCCTCCTTTTCCAAGTATAGTTCTGAATGACTACCATTTTTAACAAAGAAGTTATCAGTTTATGGTTAGTACACAAGTCCTGCAAATTTAGATTCTGTTTTTAAAAGCATTTATCATACTTCTATCATTTCTATATTTTTCTCCTATATACTGAACCCCTTGGTACATTGTACATATAGTTTCTTCTAATGAAATTATTATTTTTTTGAAATTATTGATATTTTTTAATGAAGTATTTATTCATTTTGGCCAGAAAAACCAAGTTGTTGATGTAAATCAACAATACACATCCTCCTATTATGCCCCTCCTGGCTCTGCATCAGCATCATGGGCATCAAATGTGGCGGGTAACTACAATACACAGAATGGAGTTATTCCAAGTACCAGTTATGACCACAATCAAAGAGCTGAGGTGACTTCTGGGAATGTTCAAGATGGCTATAATTTGACATCTACTAGTACTACTACAAGTTCAGCAGTGACAAATGTAACTCAGGATTACAATAATTATCCCACGTATACATCCACTGATCCATATAGCTACAACACTGCAGGATATTCGAATTACTACAATGGCTATCAACAACAAGCTAATCAACCATATCCCCAACCGACAGTAGCATATCAAAACACGGGTGCTTCTTATCAGCCTCTTTCTTCATATCAGAATACAGGATCTTATGCTGGCGGTGCAAGTTTTTCAAGCACTTATTACAACCATGCTGATTATCCTACATCAGGAGCTTATCCAAGTAGCGGAGGCTACCCAAGTAGCAGCTACAATAATCAGTATGGACAATATGCTCAATATCCATCTCAACAGCATCCTACTCTAAACTCTTCTCAACCATACCATACTGCAGATTCATCTGCTGGATACAGTTCTGCAACTTCTGTATCCAGTTCACAACAATATCAACCACCGTATCAGCAGTGGGGAGGGTATTACAACCAAGCTCAGACAGAAGTTAGTTGTGCCCCTGGAACAGAAAACCTTACCGTTTCTAATGTATCTAGTTTGAGTTGTCCTGTTCCTGGTGTTCCCGGTGTTAGTGGTGGATACCCAGCTTCAAGTTGCCAACAACCAGCACCTTATGCTCCACCTTGGAAGCCAAAGTGTGACACTTCTGAATTTCCAACACTGCAGGTTTGGTACTTACACAATTTCCAAGATTTTTTAACCACCTGTCTCAATTTTTTATTGCCTTAATGCATTGCATGTTATTTGTGCTTGGACTCTTGAAAAAATGTAAAACTTTGCATTCTGTATATGTATTAGGAACTTGCATATTAAGCAAGGGAAATAACTTTTTAGGTGTTAGCGCTGAATGCAATCTCTGATGTGTGCTTGTTTATCAGGACCTGCACACTAAAAAACAAACAGTTTGAGATATTGCTCCTAGACACTCAAATTCAAAATTGAAGTTAATGAATTATTTGAGGTTTTTCATGATTTATTAAACTGTAGAGCAAGGATGGCTATTATGTCATGTCTGGCATCCAACAACTGCAGCTTGATACCACTGTTTATTCTGTCTTGCTACACTTTTTCTCCCAACAATGTTTGCATATGATCACACTCAAGTACATTAAATTTATTTTTATCTTATGTTATTGGAAATTAAAATTATAATTACTCATTCAAACTCCTAGGACTTGTTTTAGTTTGAAATTGCAAATATTTATTTTTTCCTGGAATATTAGATTAATATTATGTTAAATGATATTCCATCTGTCCCCAAACTATCTTCCCATGTGGAAATGGCACAAAGACTAAGAGTGGCGTACTGTGTAATCCTCAAGGCTTAGTGAGGCATAAGCCTCATTTTTAAGTATTAGAATGTCCACAAAACATTATTAAAAAAAGAAGAGAACACATTATTAATAATATAAATAATCCATAAACATTTAAAAGGTATATTGTCAATGTAAAATATATTGTCAAAGCAAAAGGTGTCAAGTGCAACATAGTTAGCAAAACATACAACAAAATATTGGCAGAAGGCGAAGAACTGAAATTGATGAATGCAAAAAAAAAATCATCATTTTTAAGAAGTCTCAAGAAACCTTAGAATATGGAATATCCAAGTTTTAACAACAATTTAGTAATAAAAAAACCCATGCACGCAACAGAGAAGAAAAAAAGTAGATTACTAACCAAAATCCAGCAGCATACAAACAAAAAAGTACTCCGTAACAAATTAGGGGAAAAAGGCCACACAGGAGCACTCTAGGATCAAATCCTCGAACAATTAGGATCACTTTATTTACGAGGCTTAGTTGACATTCAGCAAAAACATCTAATGAATTATGAGTTCATTTCAACCTCTTTAGCATAAGGACGTTTATTCCTTGATCATTCTCATGCAATCATTAATTCACAAATAGCTCATTTCCCATCTCACAGAAAACCCTCTTTGCTCTACTTAGACTTGTCACTCTCCAGGGGTAGCTTAGTTACAGGTTCTATCAGAATTGGACAATCCTAAGCGTGATAGTTACTATGCTTTTAAAAATCCTCATTTTTGGTTTGTTTGTAACTTTTCAGTTTTTGGTGTAATGCCTTTTCTTCTGCTCTATGTATTTTCTATTGGAATGTTAAACTCAGCTCCCTTTGCATTTTGTTCAGCCGGCTACCACAAGCGATAATGCTCATGATAGTTACTGGAAGCATTGGGAGCATTCAAGTTCTGTGCAAGATCATGTTCAACCTCCACCAGTTCCAGTTCCAACTTATGAAAGCTTTCACAATCAACAGACGTTTACAAGTGCCCAAGGACCAAGTGTTCAGTATCATAATTCTCATCAGTTGAACCATAGCAATCCCAATCACCAATCAACCTTGCAAACCATTCAGCAAACTGTTCCACCAGAAGATACACACAGGGTAAGCAAAATGCAGATTCCAACAAATCCTAGAATAGCTTCAAATTTGGCCTTCAGTTTACCAAAAATCGATAAGGATAGCTCTACAACAACTGCAGCTGCAAAACCGGCATATGTCAGTGTATCTTTGCCTAAACAGAATGAAAATGTGTCATCTCAAACTACTGATTCCATTCTCAAGGTAGAGTTGTTCTCTATATTGATATTTCAGTCTGCTATTAGCTATGAATAGTTAATCTTTTTGTATGATTATCTTGTTTAGTAATGTTTATTTGTGCTTTAGTATTGATTGTAACTGCTCTTCGTGCTGATTATTTTAATATCAAATTACATGTGTGGGCTGATCTCCAGTAGAGGCTTACTTTTGCATTTTAAAGTTACATATTTAGGGGAAGTCTCTAAAGAGAGCATGACATAAGTACTTAGCTTCATGACTCAAGGATGAACTTCTTTAGAGCTATTCATTCCTTCGCCTGCGAAGCTCATCTGATCATTTTGACACCAGCTTTATATGTTTTACATTATCATCATTTTGTGAGTGACACAACTACCTGAGTTCAAAAATATGGAACTGTTCTCCAGTAGAGGCCCATTCTCCCCCCTTCAGCTCCTCTTGTGCGTTTAACCAATGAAAACGGAAATAGTATGTACAGTAGAATCAGTACATCCAGATAGTAATATTTGATTTCATGTATTGAGGACATTGATGCTTTTTTGGTGTTTATACATATTTAGATTAACAATGAATGTGTTGTGTCAATATTTCTGTTGGGGTAATAAGATAACTGATGGATCTTGCCAACTCCCATGTTCTTACTTGCAGCCTACTGTGTTTCCGAAGTCATTGCGGGGATATGTGGAAAGGGCTTTAGCTCGTTGCAAAGATGATGCACAAATGGCAGCTTGCCAAGATGTCATGAAAGAGGTATGTATCTGCACTTCGTGGCTCGATGCTACGCCGCTAACTGTAGAACACAGAATGCTCATTGCTTGAGCACTAAAGATGCAGTAACTCTAAACATTATAAATCATGGATTACATTGTCATCCGGATAATTTATTTGCTTGTTCGACTCCTTTTTATTGGGTGCCAAGTAAATCAAAATGTTGGTGTGACTCATTGTGCTAAGCCTGATGGAATCTTAGTATGTCTGTGCTTGTCTTAAGAAGCATATTTGATTACTTATTAATTTATAATGCTCTAACTATCAAAAGGGAGATATTAATCTAGAAACAAGTTAACCCCTTCAGTCTCACTCAAATTGTCATCTTTTCTTTGAATTATCTTTCATTTTAATAAAATCTATCCATACAGAATAAGCTGAGTTTACACTAGGGTTGTAAACGAAGTGAACAATTTCCATTCAATTCTTGATTCATATTTGAATATGATAATTTCAATATTTCAAATACAAATACAAATACAAATATAGATTTTGATTCAAATGTTAAACAACTATGAATACAAGGATATTCCGTTCGAATTATATTTAAATAATTACAAATGTAAATAAAGTTGGAGTAAATATGTAACATAAATAAATATATAGACTCCTCCATTCATTCTTTTTCTAAGTTCATATTAATTCCAAATTGAAAACTTAACAAAAGTAGTATATAATACTCTCTCTGCCCCGTCCCATTATTTTTGTCTTATTTTACCTTTTTTGTCCGTCCCACTATTTTTATCCCATTCCATATTTACTATTTAGTCATATTTGTGTGCTTTACACTCACTTTTATTTTATCTTACTTTCTAACATCAATATAACCACACAAATTTACTTTTTAAAATTTATGTGTCACTCCCCCATGTCCCAAAAATAGTGAACATAGTTATCAAGGCGTCGCCTAGGCGTCTGGGTGAGATTTTGTGGATGCCAGATTGGTCGCCTAGCTTTTACAACTAGAATTTGACTTGCCATTGATTAAAACGCGGTAGGGTAACTGGAAGTCTGGAACGATCTGAATCACAGCAAAGATCCGAAAATTGAAGGAGATGGTAAGGTCGTCGATTATAATTCGATCATTGAAGATGCGAAGCGGGCCGGGCAAGGAAGTGAATTCGCTTCTCGTCGGCTGAATAAAAAGATTTACGAGTAATTGCCGGTTATGATAAAAATTAAAATGAACAACACTTGTGGGTCGGGTCGGGTAGTGTATCCACCTAGTTTCTTTCAGATCTGCCCATAATTCAGTTATGGAGATGGAGTAGTGAGGAGTACTGTACTGGGCACTATTCTGAATATTGCAATTGATCTAATTACTCTTACTATTCTATACCTAAAGTTTTTTTCTTCATCTCGTCTGGTATCTGACTTGGTGAGTTGCTGTTTTGAATTCTTTTGTTCACCGTATTTATATATTATCTCCCTTTTGGTACTAATTCTTTTAATTATTTTATTTATTTATGTCATACTATATGCGTTTACATTAGTACCTAAAAAATTATCAAGATTGTCATATCCCACTTACCCAGGGATGCCTAGGCGGGCACCTAATTGCCTAGGCGTCTGGAAGGTGGTCTAGTGCCCAGCCTCGCCTAGTCGCCGTAACAACTATGATAGTGAGCTGGAGGGAGTACTTCATATCAGTTAACATTTAATATTTTTTACATATTGTTCGAACAACTCAAGTAACATTAATATCTTAAACATAGCTAAAGCACATGATTTTTAATAGTTATACTTTGTGAAACATGAAATTCATTTTGGGCAAGTGCATTACTATGTTTAAATGTACTTTCTTGATTTTGAATTTGAATAGAATATATTCAAAAAAGATGAACACGTTGAATATGAACTGAATTTGATATTCGAATGTTAAACGAATACGAATATCTTTAAAATGAATCAAATTTGAATCAAATATCTTGATATTCGCTTTGTTTACAATCCTAGTTTACACCATGTTTGCAACTCTTGCGACTAATATCTTGTTTACATACCTTTCAGATAATCACCAAAGCCACTGCCGATGGTACACTTTATACAACTGATTGGGATACAGAACCTCTCTTTGCATTGCCTAATACATTTGGGGAGACAAAGGAGTACGCACACTTCATAAGCTTGCAATGTTGCAGGAGTTCCTTTACCTTTTTTTCTTTTCAATTAAAAATGAATTCCCAAAATAGTCCTTTCTAATAAGGTGTTTTTCCAAATCAGTCTTCAATAAACAATAAATTACCTACGTGGTACTTTATAATTGAAATTTATCCCCTTGATAGTCCTCCGTCAAAAACTCCGTTATATGGCTGTCAAGTGTGGGGGGGGGGCATATTTTGATATTTTGAGTAAGTTCCCAAAATGGTCTTGTTCGGTTAAGTGTTTGAGGAATAACATATTTATAAAGGACCATTTTGAGAACTTCCACTAAGTTTAAATGATGAAAAATACTAAAATACCTTCCACTTGACCGCCATTTAACGGACATATTTGACAAAGGACGACTGGGGGAATAAATTTCAATTATAGAGTACCATAATCAGTGCTTATTGAGCGCTGATTTGGAAAATGCCTTATTAAAAAGGACCATTTTAGGAACTCACTCTACAAATTATTTGCATTCATATTGATGCAAAACATCTAAGTTGGTGACGGCATCACATACTAATCTGTGCACTTTGATCAGTTCATGAAATGGGACACCTTAATGATCAACTTATATTTTCATCATTGGATTAAAAAAAATACTCTTTTTCTATCATCTCGGATGGAGCCAAAGATTCACTTTTTTTTTCTTTGGGGTATGATGAGCAAAATGGCTCTTTAAACTATTTGTGCTTCTTTTATAGTGAAGTAGCAATTAATCAATGCAACTTTTGATGCTCATCACGGGTCATTTGGAATTAGCCGCTAATAACCCACTTAAATCCCACTATAGTAGGGCCTTGTTCGTGGCGGTGGGGGGGGGATGTAAAGCTTAATTGAAAGTAGGGAGGTTGTTTCAAGTATGGAAATATTTTCTCTTTGTTTTAAGCATATGGGACAGGCTACATACATCCGAACCCCCCCCCCCCCCCCAAATGGGCGGGACCCTTTGAGGCACTGGGGGAATGCTGTTGGATAAAAATTACTCTACACCTTTTTTATTTACTCCATTTATCTTTACATGGAATTTAAGAAAATGAAATAGCGTGGTTGACTTATTTTGAAAAGAATCAATAATTAACCACCTTTTCTTAAAAGCAAAGGAGAAGATTCTTTAGGGACAGAAGAGGAAAGTTGTAAATAATAAGGAGACTGAGAGAGTGTATCTCAAGTAATTTACTACTAATGGTTTGTTGAAAAATTTGCAAGAAGCAACCAATAGCTATGCTAAAGAGCAATGTTTTGATGTGGATGATAAAACATTACTTAACAATTTAAACAATTTTCCTTCATGTGGGAGGTACAACCATACAATGTCTGGCAATACCACTGTGACGTTAAATATTTAGGAGGCATGGACCTCCAGTCATTTCTTATGATGTGCCTGTTATTTCTTACATGACATGATGAAATAGGGCACGACTGTTCTTTAATGAGATGTTGAATTGCAACCAAGCCCTTTATAGCCTTGGTATACACTTATACACCTTTTATGTGACAACAAAAACCATAGAGTATGTACACATGCTTTCCACTCTCTTATAAGTTGTCTTGGCATTCTTCATTTACTTCTCAAGTTGATAATTGAACACAGTTTGGTCACCAGTTTTGCAAATGACACTTACTAGCTACAGCCTTACTTGTGCAGTGATAAACATTGTTCGTTTCCAACTTCTTCATCATCAAAGAGTAAAAGAAGTCCCAATAGGCGATCAAAAAGTCGGTGGGAACCTTTACCAGAAGAAAGACCAATTGACAAACAAGCACATTTTACTCCTCATGCCAAAAAATATGGAAATTGGAATAAACAGGTCTCTTCTTTATGCTACTCATTTGATTCTACATGTTCTTTTAAGTTGTAATAGGGATCTCAATTTACTCAGAGACTCAAAAAGTCTATTTCCTCGCTGCTATCTTCTCCGAGTTTTCTGAGCAATGAACTGCAGTATTAGTTTCACCTGAGACATTATTCTAGTTCTCTTTTTATTCTTAACATAGAATATATGGATTAGGGGTCTGAGGTTAACAGCTTTCGAAGTTGATGCACAGTTCATAAAAATACCTAGAATTTTTACATGCTTTTTGTGTACAATATCTGCTAAGATCTCTTTAACATTACTGTCGAGCATAGCTCTAGCAAAATCACATTTGCAATTACTCCGTACATGATTTACATCATTGTTATTGTTTGAAATTAGTTCTTATGTTTGTAGGTTGTACTTCATCAGTATTGGTTTTAAGTGACTTGTATGGTTCATATTGAACATGTTTTGGAATATGAAATTCTCAACCTTGATTCTATAAATTTCTCTTGTATAGCTGTTTAAAATTTTGAGAAGACGTGATAGAACCTTTTCAAGACTGCTTTTGGCATCTGTGCATTTTTGAATAGGTTAAGCAATGACACAGTGTACTTCCATGCCTATAATTTTGTCTCTTGACGCAATTTACTCATCACCGTCCTCGATACTTTCCATGCATGGGGAAACAAAGTTTAAAAAGGCTAGTTTGGGTATCGATGCAATTTGTTCTCGATAGGCAAGGCCTAAGCCATGAGGTGCAAGCCTCAAAATACACCGATAAATAAAAAACATTACATTGCAAATAAGTATTTTTCATCTTTTCTCTTTGGATTTTTACTTTAATACTATGTTTTCAAGTTGGGGCTTTTCTTTTTCTAGTAGCTTATGTAGATGTAGAAACGCCTAGACCTTCTCTACCAGGAGTAGCACCATAAGAACTTTGAACATAACCTCTCACCAATTAAATTGTTATATCTCTACATAAAAATGTTTAAAACTAATCTAAAGTTCAGAATGCAACAACACAACACAGAGAAGAACAGGAGAACAACTTGAAAAAATAGGAAATGAATAAGTTACTAGGGGAAGGAGGAGGGTATGAGCAGGTGCAAAGCAAAGTTTAAGAAAAGACATATAGTGATATCAATGAAAAGAAAAAAAGAAGTTACTGGGGGAAGGAGGAGAGGAGAAGCAGGAGTGAAGCAAAGATTAAGAACAGACCCATAGTAACGTATTGTTGAATCTTGGAGTTGGGTCAGCGGTAGAATAGAGAGAAGAATAGAGTGATGTGTTGTTTCATATCTATTACGGACTAACTTTAGTGTATGAGCCTTATTTCATTTAGTCTCAGTCCAAAAAAAACCTGCCTCACATTGAGGCCAGCCTCACAGCACCTATGATGATGAAGGTTTAGACTTAAGAATTTTTATCTCATTATGCCTTCATAGAAAGGTTACGATAATGGCATCCTGCCCAAAACATTATCACTATGTTTTTTTCATGAATTTATGGTGTTAACTAAGTTTGCACAATAAATTGACTCTAAAAGCAAAATGCTGTGGACTCTAGCTAGATGGGACTAAGGTTCTGATAATGACAATGTTGATGATGACAAATTGACCACTAACAAGAATAATTGTTTACACTTTACAGTAATATTTTTTAAGCATGCTTCAAGGGTTGACATTTTGACATGCCATAAGCCCATAACCTATGAATCTGTGATGATTCGGCACAGGAAAAGTTTCTTTTGATCAATTTAGCAGTACTCAGTCTTGGACTAGGAGTATTATTTTTGTTTGAAAGCAATCTGCATCTATGAGGCTTGTGTGACCTCCTTAGTTTTTGATACAACAATTGATCATTCTATTTTTCTGCAGTATGCAAGTGGAAAGGTGGAATCTTCTGCTCACGTGAAGTTCTCTTTACCAGAGCAGAAATCGCCTAACCTGTATCCCTTTAGATCAATAAAGAAGCAGCGTATTAGTGGTAGTATTAGTGGAACTGAAAATGGTGAAGTGTCTAGTGATAGTGACAAAGAAAAAGATTTAACAGCATATTGCTCTGCCGCTATAACACTAGCAGATTCACCAGAAGAAAGGAAAAGACGAGAAAATCGATCAAAGCGTTTTGAAAAGAAAAATGTTAATCAAGCAGAAAGCAACAATGTTAGGGTGAAAAGTGTCGGAGTTGAAAATGTTTATTCTAGACGGGCAACAGCATCTGTACTTAGCCGAAATTTTGAAGAAAGTGGCAGTGTAGCTGTTGAAGATATTGACTGGGATGCTCTTACTGTAAAAGGAACCTGCCAACAAATTGAAAAGCGTTATTTACGCCTTACTTCTGCACCTGATCCTTCCACGGTAAAAAAACTATTCTTTGCCAAATTTTTTAGATTCGTAAATGGTCGGCCAGGATGGCTGGGTGGCGAGCGACATTATAAAGATAATATGTTTTATTTTTGAAGTATGCTTGGTTTTTCACTACAATATTACCCATTGTAGGTACGGCCTGAAGAAGTGCTGGAGAAAGCCCTACTTATGGTTCAAAGTTCCCCCAAAAATTACCTATACAAATGTGATCAATTAAAATCCATACGTCAAGACCTTACCGTACAACGCATTCGTAATGGGCTAACAGTTAGGGTATGTCTTTTCACTTTCGTTATTGTCCACACTATATTCTCCTAGCACAGCATTCTTCCGGATAATGCCCTCATGTCCTTTTACAATCTTTTTTTATGACTGATTTCTTGATGAAATGTTTGGTATGATATGCATTTCAGGTTTATGAAACACATGCTCGATTAGCCATTGAAGCCGGGGACTTGCCAGAGTATAATCAGGTCTGTCCTAACCCTAGGTCTAGTTGTTGTATCTTATATGGTGGTTTAGTGGCGAGGTTTTGTTTTTTTTTCACCCCTTGATTTTTGCTATTATTGATGTCTCACGAGAGTTTCACTGGCACATTCTCCTAGATTACTATATTATCATGTATATCCTTTTTTCTTCAATTTTCTAGATATTTGATCTGCTCTCTTAATCTTGACATATGCAGTGTCAGTCACAATTAAAAACACTTTATGCAGAAGGAATCAATGGATGCCATATGGAATTGGCAGCATATGATTTATTGTGTGCACTTCTGCACTCCCATAACAAGAGAGATCTCCTATCCGCAATGTCAAGGTCATTGACCTAGTTTGTTACTATCTTTTAAATTGTTTTATTCTACATGGTTTTCAATGCCGCACCATTAATTCAATGGATGCCAGTATTGAGTATCCTTTGAGGTAGGGGTAAGGTCTACTCACACACTCATTTCAGCAACATTTGTATTTTCCATTGCCAAATGAGCTTTAAATCTTTATTTACCGGAGCTTTCAAGTTGTATGCAATTAACATGGAATTATGGGAGGGGTGTCCAGCTACTCATGTTCTTGTAAGAAAATGCACACATATTTTTGAAGTTATAATAAAAAGTAATTATTTGCAATCAACTAGCATTGTAATTTTAATGTCTCTAACCCCAACAACTTGGGGGAGGGTGGTGATGTTAATTTTTTTGGAAGTAACTGGGCTTTATTTTAGTTTCATATGTGAACTGAATGCTGCTGTTTATTTATTTTTATTTTATATGTGAACTGAATCCTTGATATGCTGGAAAATGGCTGTTGTTGCTCTATATTTCAGATTATCAGTTGATGCTAGGGAAAATACTGCTGTTAAGCATGCCATTTCAGTTCGTACGGCAGTGGCATCTGGAAACTATGTTCTGTTTTTCAAACTATACAGAACGGCTCCCAACCTCAACAGCTGTCTAATGGGTACAAGTTACAGTTTTTGCTTCCAATACATGTTGGCCTTGTTTGGTTTAGGGAAGAAATAGAGAAGAGAGAAATTGGTGAGATGGAAAGGGGAGACAAATTGAGCAGTTTTTTGTGCGGTTTGGTAGGAGAGAAAAAAAAGAAGAAATTGGAGTGAATTCTAGTAATTGAGTTTTTTTTTCATTTAGTCCATCATACAAACAAATATTCCCAGTGGTCCAATGTACTCCGTATTTTAGAACACTTCCACCAGAGGTACTAACCTTCTGTTAGTTGACTTTTAAGTTGAGTGATAAATTTCTGTATACGTCCCTGACGTCCTTTGTAAATGAAATTAATTCCACCTTTAGTCCTTTTATATTTATAGTTTTATTTTTACTTAGGACTGAATGTGGAAGAATCTCCATTTACAAAGGACATCCATTGGAATTCACTATTCAACTTAGTGATTAACTAACCGAAGGTGAGACGGAGGACCTCTGATGGACATGTTCTCAAATACGTAGGAGCACCAGAAGTACTCATTTCTATGATGGACTAAATGCAGAAAACCTCATAAAAAGGGACATCTCTGGAAATTGGAAGGAAAACTTCTCATATATCTCCCATAAGAAGAAAATTAAGAAGTGGTGGGACTTACCGTCCCCCTCCCTCCACCCCTCTATTTTTCGTCACCGAAAAAGAGAACTTTCTCATTTCTCTCTTTCCTATTCTACCCAACCGAAGTGGTAATGTTCAGTATCTTCATACAAGTACAGTGCATGTTGTTGAAGTTGAGAATATATCTTGTACCACTGTCTCTTTTAGATCTCTATGTTGAGAAGATGCGTTATGCAGCTGTAAGCTGTATGTCACGTTCATACCGTCCCACAGTTCCTGTATCCTACATCGCTCTAGTTTTAGGGTTTACTTCTGTTGGGCCCACAACTGAAGGCAGTGATGAGGATACATATGGTATGGAGGAATGTGTAGAGTGGTTGAAGGCCCATGGTGCATGTCTTACTTCAGAAGATTCTGGGGAGATTCACTTTGATACAAAAGTATGCTTGCTTTTCATCTTAAAATCTTAATTGATTTTTTTATTGTCCCAAAAACCCAAACTAGTTTCTCAATTTCCTTTTTTATCCCTCACCAAATTTGCAGGCATCTATATCAAGCCTTTTCATACCAGAACCTGAAGATGCTGTGGCACATGGAGATGCTAGTCTTGCAGTGAGCGATTTCATGACACGCAATCTTGGGGTATGACTAAAACACCCCTCACACTGCTTGTTTTTGAGTTTCGTATATGGTGTGTCGTCGAGTACTTTGCTCTTGACAAGCTCTTGATTTTTTTCAATGCGTAAGGAGATGAAAATTTCATGCATATATAGTTGAATAGTAATGGATTACGCAAATACACATTAAAGTTGTATTCTTATAGTGGTGGTGATAGTTGTATGCATGTGTTAATTGAAGTAGACAGTTTTGGTCTTGGGTTTCTTTGTCAGCCACAAAGTACAGGAGATTTTTATTTCAAGGAAACTTGTGTAACTTTATAAAAAGCATTTTGAGTAGCTTTTCGGAGAAGCTCTATGAACTTTTATTTGTAATTACACTATAAACATCTATTCTTATTTTAAATGTATCATTTCGTGTTGTTTTCTATTTCCAAGTTAGCTTATTATAAGCAGCTCTTGTCAAACATTGATATCAAGATCAACAAGCTTTCTCCGCCGTGCTATATAAACTACAAGCTCCTCACGAGCTTAAGTGACAAACGTGGTCGTAGTGGTTTAATGCTTGTGTTGTGATTTACTCTCTCTAATCCAAATTAGTTGTCTTACTTTTGTTTTTACTCCATCCTAAAATAATTGTCCCGCTTCTTTTTTTGAACATTTTTTTTATTTTGAAGTCAAATTAGGATGACTATTTTCTCAGGATGGAGAAAAAATTTTCTATGTGCCAATTTTCTCAGTATGACTATGATAGTATGATCCTTCGTGTGTTTGTTAATGAAGCACTCCGGGGTATATATTAGGATCAAAATTGATTTGGTGGCTTGTTGTGATGTTTACTGATATCTTAACTCTAGGTTTCAGTATCAGGTTTCAGTTATCAGATTTTAATTATCAATTATGCATTAATTTTTTTAAAGATTTATAATGTATTTAATCTAGGCTCTAATTATTGGTTTCTACTCAGTAATTTTTAAGGTCGAGAAGAACTTAGAGCTTGTTTCCTTCGTTTAATCTAATTAGATTTGGTTTGGTTTTATTAAATTCTGATTTGGTCTCAATTTAGTTATGGAGTCTATTTTTAAGTTGTTGCAGATTTGATTTGGTTTGAAATGATTTGATCAAATCTGATCTGATTCTAGTTAGAGAAAGAATAAATATTTTCTTGTTACATTTTTATTATATACTCTGTATATGGATGTATCATTCATTAATCAATAAGATCAATTAATATCAAATTGTATCATGATATAGGAGCTAAAGTTTTCAAATGCCTAGTCCTTCATTTTCTGGCCGAGTGGTCTTTGTTCACGGCGGTCGATCGTTCGACAGCATAGCGTCACCGATCGATCTCGACGAACGTGCCTTACTGCTGCCGTTCAAATAAACACAAATAAACAAAAGTTATTGCAGATGAGAGAAAAAGTAATATACTTCGGGACAGATGGAATATATAAATTTGTTTTGCCAAATATTCGTAAAATTAAACCTTCATTCCTGCCTGGTTCTTGGCATAATTATATCATCAATTGCGTGTAAGCTTTGGGATAATCTGGAGATTTGATTCTTTATGTGTTGAACTCTGTGTGTTATCCGTATCCATCATTTGGTCTTTCCTTTAAATTTGTAGTACTATTGGATTTATGCTACGAGTTTAATTTATTCTTTGTTGTAGGAATATATTTGTGCAACAACTAGGCAATCCTTTACGGTTTACCTGGCTATTACGCTTTACATTTATTGATATTTATTTCAAAATTATTCTCTAGACCTGCTAAAAGAAAATTAGAAAAGAAAATCGTGTTTCACGAACGCACAAGTTCTAATTTTTAAGTAGAAGCATGTTGACGTAGTGCTAAGGACGAGCCCAATTTTTCGTCTCAGCTCGGGCCAATGAATCCTCTAGATCGGCATGATAAATACTATATGGCCATATATGTCAATTACTCACTCTCATGTTTTTATTCTTTATGCAGAATTGACCATTCGCTTTTTATATTTATTAAATAAATTACAATAAATAATACTCCGTATTAAATGTTTTAGAGAAAAAGAATGAGTACGTAGACATGAATATATGATAAATATGATGAATGTATCTGACATTTCAAACTAAACCCATACAAAAAAGAGTGAGTTTTTGAAGGAGTGATTAACAGAATTAGTAACTTTTCTAATTAATGATTTGAGTAAAAATCATTTGAATAAATAAAGAATCTGTGCCCCAAGTTTTGTGTGTATTTGATATTATTATGGCAAAGTAAGATGCTTTCACACACACACGTGAATCCTAATTGTTTTCTCATGGAGTATTATTTTTAACTTTTTCTTTTTTTAAATGGCTCTTAGACAAAATCCGGAATATAGGCTTTATCATAATTTAGCTTTTGGACTTTTGACAAATTTAATAAACCCTTTTGAAAGTTGGACGGTCAAACCTAGTGTTTGTAACTCAGTATATATATAGACACACACACAATGAAGAAATATTACAAGCAATCTCATTTATTCTTTTGCAAATTCATCTCATCAAAATTCTTTATTGGACAAATTGTGTATTTCTTTTTTCAAAATTATTTGTTTGTACAAAATATGGATTAGTTTCACAATTCAGATACTTAATGCCAAAATAGATTATACATTTATTATTATAGCATCCCGATAACATTTACTCTGTATTTGTTTCTGTGTTTTTATTGACTATTTGATAAAGTAAAATATTCTTGTCATCGCTTATTTTGTAAAAATTTTATATGATTTTTAAATATGTGAGTTTTATTTGTTATTTCTATTCTAACTTATAAATAAATTAAATTTGAAAAAGACAATTAATGGGTATTAAATCCAAACTTTAAAAAAAATTGGATTTGAGTTAAATTCTTCTTATTCATCACAAAGCTCAAATCAAAATTCATATACTTCCCTTTGTCATTTGAATTAAAAAATTCAATTTTTGGAATTGAAATACTCCGTACATGAATTGAAATAAAATGTTAGTTTTCAAACTCTACCTAATCTAATTTAGAATGGAGAGATTATTTCATTTATATATTGTATAAATAATACTTCTTCCGTTCCTAAAATGTTGCCACTGACTTTTTTGGTCAAAATGTGACACTCTTTGAGCACGAGTTAAATATAGTTTAAAATAATTAACTATTATAAAAATTTAATTTTTGAAAACTATTTTTTAAAACAAACCCAATTCTACTAAACTTACATTATAACTAAATATATTTTTTTTGAAAATTTGTAATTAAAAAATGTTTCAGTTTGATAACAAATTCAGATTGTAGTAATCTTCTAGAAAGAGAGAGATTAAATGGTACAGCACCGCACCAAGAGACATGATTCGGAAAAGAGAAACCTACAGGCTGCAGCCCATGTATAACGTGTGTGGGATGGAATAATAATGTTGGAAACTCATTTGAGAACCATATTAAATTATTAATACCGATTAATTGTCTTATTATACTCCATCCACCCGTATTTTGGTTACAAAATGAGAACTACGAGGTAAAATTTTACGATTTTTTAAATTATTTTATTTACAAATTGGTACATCAATAAGAAATAAAAATTACATGTTAAAAAACTACATCAAAAGTTCTACAAAAAAGAGATAACAAGAATATTTTATTTTATCAAATAATCAATGAAAATATACAAACAAATCAAAATTATTGAGAAGAGATAGAAAATAAAATTGTAAGTAAAATAGGGATGGAGAGAGTATAAAATACTCCGTAAGTAATTCAAATATTTTTTTCATTCTCTACCTATTTTGTCATTCAAATATTCTGATTGTCTAATTATCATTACTTTCTCGAAAACATGATTAAGGGTCCGTTATTTGGTATACGAAATTGTCAGAATTGGAATTGAATTGAAAGTTGAAATTCTATAGAATTGATTTGGATGGAATTGAGTTCTTCAATATCAATTCATTTTTGGTACTACTAATTCCAAATGCATATATTTTTGTGCCACCAAACTACAGAATTGTCATTGTTGTCTCAAATTTTAATTTTATAATTTGAATTTCGTGTATCAATTGGAGTCTAAATGCATTTAATGTGCTCATTTAATATCTTCAGTTAATTACTCCCTCCGTCCCTAAATATTTGCCACATTTGTATTCCCGAGGCAAAATATCAAATTTTTTCAATTCATTTTATTTACATATTGGTATAGAAATAAAAAATAAAATTTACATATCAAAAAACTACATGAAAAGTTCTTTGAAATAAGAGGTGTCAAGAATATTTTATTTTATCAAATAACCAATAAAAACGTAGAAATAAACAAAAGTTCCCGCGACTGCTGAAAAAGCAAACGTTGCAAATAATTTGGGACGGAGGGAGTATAACTTTTCTTTTTTGGAATGCTTAGACAAATTGTTAGCAAAACGGTTTAAATAAAAAGTATTGAGAAAATAATCTTATTAAATCTATGTTGTAAACACTTACAAAATTACTTTATGGCAACATTTTCAAAATCGTTGCCATACATATAAACTAGTTTTCTACCCCGTGCTACGCACGGGCTTGTTATTAGGGCTCGTTGTCATAATGTTATTGATGCGATGGTTGAAACGCTTGGGCATGTGTTAAAGGGTTGTGTATGTTTTGGTTTTGTAGGATTTTGAAAGGCTACATTGTATCTTTTTGTTTTGTGAAATGTGAAGAGTGATATTATTCTATTTTGGGGTTTTTTAATTTGATGTTGGTGGTTGAAGAGATTCATTTTTTGTAATGATTTTAAATGTTCATTTTGGCATTG